GAAAGTCAGTTATAGGTGATCATTTTGCAGTCAAGGGTATGGTCTCTATGAGCCAGGTTTTTCCCTCCTGTAAAAAAAACTTAATGAGATCCAGGTTAAAAGTTTCTGGCCTATGATGCTGAGGGGTCTAATATGTGCAACCAAAGATCGCAGTTATTTGTTAGGATGATTATTCTGGAGCATGCTGAGCTTTGGGTCGGTCCTTGTCTAACCACGGAATTGCCGCATGTCCTTTGGAGGTATTTTACTAGCTTCTCCATGTCAAGATGTACTAGTATTATTATATGATATCAGATTTCCCCACAAAATGCCATTGCAATTGGCTATTCATTTGTGTGCACCAACATTATTATTTACTGTACTTAGTCTGTTTTGTAGTATTTAGTGACCTTCACCAGAAGTTCAGCATTCTTGGCAGGCATTTTTTCCTTGGCCACAGAGGAACCCTGTATTTCTCTGGCTCTGGCTCCTTCCAAGAGATGGGAATGTAATAGCAGCAGCTGAGGATATGAAAATAACTGGGAACAAAATAGACATCAAATTCAGAAAATGACTGAAAAACAAAATAGCAGAAGCAGTTCTTTTTCAGCACTGAACATTCTATAAGATTCAGTGCTAAGCTGGCTATCACATTGCTATTTTGAACAGAGGGACAAACATAGGTAGATTGACATGTGATTTCATATTTTAAACACAGATGATAGAATTCTGACTCCAGATTTTACTCCTAGATCCATGTGGGTGATTAATTGTAAATTCTGAAAAATATGGATACAAGAATAGAACAGACTTCTAATACAGTTCCCTTTTTAAACACACACAAATAAAACTTTAGAACTTGACCGAAAAAATGAATCTAGTGGGGTGGATGATGTTTCTGTTAATAATTTCGGAGTGTGCTTTTTTTTTCAGGTTTAAAAAAAAAAAAGCTTCACTGATTGGAAGGCTCAAGTTCATTGAGATACACAATGTCTTTGAGTGAGCATTCCAAAAAACTGAATGTCTCCTTCTGGCATGAATTGTTCTTTCTGCCGCATTCCAAGCTGACACAGCCACATTTCTTCCGTTATGTGTTCTATTACCCACGAGACTGCAGGAGAGTCTCACCCAAAAGCATTAATGTTGCTATATTACCATAAAAGTCTGCCCTGTGAGTATTACTTAAAAAACAAACAAATGGGCCACATTAGAACAGATTGATAGCAGCCTCTCCTCTCGGATTGAAGAAAACATCCACTCAACACTCTGGTTGCTGAAGGTTCAGTCCTGCAGAGAGGAGGTCCACTTCCACAGTTAAAGCCTTTCTGCAGTTTAGAGAGACATCCATCACCTTTTTCCTTTTTTTGTTATTATTTTTTCCCTAAGGTATTTAAGATATGTGCAATATCTTAAATCTAAAGCTATCTTTGAGATCAAGGAGGAGAAATATTTAAACATTTGTGCATTCAGTTCATGATTCAAAGATTTATTTATAAAACTGTTGATTTTGGGACACCCAATTCTTGCATTTAAACTGCTGAAGTGAGTCATGTTTGTGGGAGGTAATTACTACCAGAAAGTACAACTAACTTGTAAGCTTCTCTTTAAAATGTCCATTCACAATCTACAATTACTGCAAATAACAGGCTTACCAGGACTTTTGCTCTGTTTTATGGCTGTATATATTTATTATGCGTGCATTAGGCAATACCCAAACATACTTTTGTCACATAGGGGTTCTTGTAGGAGAAATGAGTCCCTTTATTAGTATCAGTGTAGATATCTGAGGATGTAGTATTGAAAACATATAAACTCAAAATATCCCTTCCAATACAGGAAACAGCCTGGAGAACAGCTGGTTCGAGAGTAATAATAGATTCCAATTGTCAGAAAATGTATACCTATGATTTGTGCATCATTAAAGAGCATATCCAACCCACTGAAATTCTAGCAGGCACTTCCCTCTTTAACACCTCCATGCCTCTCAGGCTGATTATGTGTCCTCCTGGGAGGTTCTCTGAGTCTTCGTTTTGTGACTGATAAAGTCCACGCCTAACTGACTAGAAGCTGAGTGGGTAGCTTCTTATGGGCCATAATGCCAGTCTCTGAGAACATCCTGAAGTTCATGGCTCTTTCTGCAACAATCAGCGCCTAAAGTTTCACAGATAAGATGTCTGGAAGTGGCTTACGCCTGTAATCCAGCACTTTGGGAGGCTGAGGCAGGAAGATCACTTGAGGCTAGGAGTTCAAGACCAGCCTGGGCAACACCATAGAGAGATCTCAGTCTCTGCANAAAAAAAAAAAAAAAAAAAAAAAAAAAAAAAAAAAATTAAATTAGGAGCAAAGATATCTAGAGAGCTGGTGTTGTCAAAAGGACGAAAAGCAGTAGGAGGGAATTTGGTGTTTGAATCCGAGTAAATAAGAGACTGCCGCAGCAGCGTTTGGGGAAATCACCAGAAAAGACATTCTGGAATTTCCAGCAAACTCTGGCTACCTGATGTTTTTGCCCTGCCATATCCTTAACCTGCCTTTGACTTAACCTTGCTCAAAGCAACTCCACTGGGATACCAAGGCCTCCAAGTCTTCCCTATAACTCCCTTGATTCCTGCACCAAACACATACTCTTCTTTGGTAGACTTGAGACTTAGCAAACTGAATAACCATGCCTCTTTAGGCTGCCCATGATCCAGCGGTCTTATTGGACCTTTCCACATTCATTTATTCACACTGTTTCAGTTGTCATTTATTCGGTACCTACTGACCAAGTGCCCTCTATGTGTCAGTTGTTGTGCCAGGTCAGGCAAGGTAATTCACATCTGTAATACCAACATTTTGGGAGGTCAAGGCGGGTGGATGACCTGAGGCCAGGAGTTCAAGACCAGCCTAGCCAACATGGTGAAACCCTATGTCTACTAAAAATACAAAAAATATATAGCTGGGTGTGGTGGCAGGTTCCTATAACCCCAGCTACTCGGGAGGCTGAGGCAGGAGAATCGCTTGAACGCAGGAGGCGGAGGTGGCAGTGAGCTGAGATTGCACCATTGCACTCCAGCCTAGGCAACAAGAGCGAAACTCTGTTTTGAAAAAAAAAATTGCTGTGCCAGGTGCCGGAACATAACCCAATCCCTGTCTTTGAGGAGCATATTGACTAGCTGGAAGGACAGACCTAAAGAGTGGCAATTTCAGAACTGCATGACAAATGTTACATAGGAGTGAGTGGTGTTACGGAGACACATCAGAAAAGCACCATACCTGACCCTGGGAGGCAGAAAGCGCTTCCCATGAGTGCCCATGTTTCAGCGAAGACCTGAAGAAAAAGGGTTTATATGAACAGACACCTCTTAAAAGACACACAAGCAGCCAATAAACACACAAAAAATGTTCAACAACATTAATTAGAAATGTGCAAATCAAAACTATAGTAAGATACCATTTCACACCAGTCAGACCGGCTATGATTAAAAAATAACATGTTGGCAAGGCTGCGGAGAAAAGAGAACACTTATACACTACTGTTGGTAGGAAGAAAAGTTAGTTCAGCCACTGTGGAAAGCAGTTTAAGATTTCTCAAAGAGCAGAAAAGAGAACTACCATTTGACTTGGCAATCCCATTACTGGGTATATACCCAAAGGAAAATAAATTGTTCTACCAAAAAAGCACATACACTTCTATGTTTATCAAGGCACTGTTTACAATAACAAAGGCACAAAATCAATAGGTGCCTATCAATGGTAAATTCAATAAAGAAAATTTACATATACACCATGGGATACTACACAGCCATAAAAAAGAATGAAATCATATCCTTTGCAGCAACATGGATGTAGTCAGAAGCCATTATCCTAAGCAAATTAAAGCAAACAGAAAAAACCAAATACCACATGTTCTCACTTATAAGCGAGAGCTGAACGTTGTGTACACATGGACATAAAGGTGGGAACAATAGACATTGGTCACTACANAAAGAAATAAAGCCTGAAGAAAATAATGTAATTTTAAGTTGATTAGATAAAGAACATGTGGTCTATATACACTATGGAATACAATACAGCCATAACACCATGGAATACTACTCAGCCATAAAAAAAGAATGAAACTGGAGGCCATTATCCTAAGTGAAATGACTCAGAAACAGAAAACCAAATACCACATGTTCTCACTTATAAGCGAGAGCTGAACGTTGTGTACACATGGACATAAAGGTGGGAACAATAGACATTGGTCACTACAGGAGAGAGTAGGAAGGAGGGAGGCAAGGGCTGAAAAACTACTTATTGAATATTATGCTCATTACTTGGGTGATGGGTAAATTCCTACCCCAAATCCCAGCATTATGAAATATACCCTTGTAACAAACCTGCACATGTACTCTCTGAATCTAGAATACAAGTTGAAATTTTAAAAAATAATAGGTATAGAGTTTCAATTTTGCAAGATGCAAAGAGTTCAGGAAGTAGATGGTAGTGATGATTGCCACCAAGTACAACATGGATGTACTTCATACCACTAAACTGTGCACTTGAAAATGCTTATGATGGGAAATTTTATATGTGTATTTTACTGCAATAAAGTAGATGCTTTCAAAAGAGCAAAAGTACAAGGAGGGGCCAAGGGAGTTTAGAGTATTTGCAAGAGAATAGTTGAAGTAATAGGCCATGGAATCCAACCTAGATAGGAGGGAAGTAGAGAGTGCGGAGGTGAGTGGGTGGAAGTACCACTGAAATTGCAGAAGAGTAAATGTCGTGTGTTCTAGAACAGGCACACTGGAAGAACAACAAACTTCTTGTAAAGGTTTGAACTGGTGAGAGTTTTGAAGTAGAGCATTATTATCCACTTGATGGGATACTACAAATGCTTTTGCATTTCAAAAGAAATATTCCATTGCATGCATTTTAATAATGTATTCCATTTTATAGCTGTAACATAATTTAACCAATCTCTTCCTATAATTATTATTCTAAATCATAGTGACAAAATACTATTAGTCTTACTTAAACAAATAAATTTATGATTCTTACAGAAATCCTCACCCAGAAGTCTCTGACCTTCTTGAGACTGGTGGAAAGAAAAACCCTGGGATTCCACAAAAACTCAAGACCAAACCTACTGACTGGTGCCCTCTCTAAGAAACAAAATTGTAATTTTCCTTGAAGTGGACAGCCTGGAATTCCTCTGCACACTCAGTCATGTGGACAGAGAGACCGAGTTACTGCAACTTGCTTCTTAATGTATATGAATTTCTTAGTTAATGCAACAGAATCTACTGAGTAGCTTTCACATAAAAAGAACTCTGTCTGGAACTGGAAAGGTAAAAATGCTCTCAAATGTAGGCATAATTAAATGAGTACATAAATTATTATAATAGAAAGTAAAAGCAAAGGGAGATTTTCCATGAAGCAAATGAAACTTAAGCATCAGTGCCCCTCACTTAACGTGGGCCCCTTCCAACACCCTTGGAGAGACCCTATACATATACTTACATGGCTATATATTCTGGGAAAGTTTGCAAAAGTGAAAATTAAAACAAAATTTCAATTAGTTAAACTGCTGTTTCATTTTCCTCTGACTTTCCCCACTGTTAGAATGGCCAAGGCCATTTTTGAGGTCCAAAAAAGGCAAAGTATTGAAGACACATTCAGTTGAGCTTATTGAAATTGAAACACATATCTGGGGCTCACAGATATTTTGCTTTCAAACAAAATTATTGCACCCAGCACAGGAAGTAGGTGAGTGCTGGAAGAGATGCAAGGTTTGAAGTATATAGAGCCAGGAGCTAGACTGTGGAATATTCTTCTAATCAGCCATATAAAACTGAACAGTGGATTCCGTTCCCATCAGTGCCTGGTCAAAACAATTCTCTGAAAGCAAACAAACAAACAAACAATTCTCTGAATTTAGGAATACTTTCAATAACAGCATGAGCAGTTCCAATTATACATGCACTATCTGTTTTTTTCCTTTTTGTTGGTAATCACACAAAATAGAATGTATGGATTTCTAGAGCACAAACCTGTAGAAATATTTTGAAGAATATGTAAAGTTGTATGTTTTATTTTTTCCAATTATCAACAGTAAAAAATTATGACCATTATAGAAGACTGAACTATCTTTCCATGTTCAGTACAGAAATTCTTACAATTAAGTAACTGTGGTAGGTAGTTGACGTAATACAAATGTTATTTGTTTAGATTATGGAATGTCTCTTGTATCTGTTAGCTTTTCAAAACGTGACTTCATTGTAATTTCTTTTCTGTTGTTGTTTTTTAGAAACAGAATCTCACTCTGTTGCCCAGGCTAAAGTGCCGTGGTGCAATCACAGCTCACTTCAGCCTTGAACTCCTCGGCTCAAGTGATCCTCCCACCCCAGCCTCCTTACAAGCTAGAACTACAGATATTTTCCAAATTCTAAATAAATTTTCATTTTCATGCCTAATTTTGTATTAATCACTTTGAATTATTTTCCCTAAAGAGATTCCCCAAAATTGTTTAAGCTTAGAGCCCCACAGAACCTGGATTTACCCCAGTACAAAGTAATGACTGTGATAAGAGAGAAATGTAAGAGGGCCTGCGGGAGTTCTGAGAAGGAAGAAATTGTTAGTTACAGAGCTGATCAGGGAAAAGTTTTATCTAAATTATGATTGAGTGAAATAACTTAAATTCAGAGTTATGGCATATGATGCTGTAAATGAAAAATGGAATCTTTATAACATTTTAATAATTTCTCTCCCTGGATCTACTCACTGTAATATTCTGTTATTGACACATTCTCTTCTCTACATGCATATTTCATTCTGTTCTCATAGTTAAAAACCTTTTCTGCTGAAGCTTTGTGGCCAAAGGTTCAACCAACAAATTAGTGCAAACCTGCTGGGTGTTCAAAGAAGAAAGTTTCTCAGGATAGATTCTGGGTACGGGTTCAAACCAGGAGAAATGTGACAATTCTGTCATGTAATCCAGACCCTATTACATGAATTATGTGGAAACAAAACAAACTTTCTTCCCTGCTCTTCAATTATGCTATAATTAGTGAGCAAGAGTCAGAGAAAGTCCTATTTTTAAGTTCTATGCTGCACTCACCTTCATTCACTCATGAGAGGGAAACAGTCAGCAATTCTGTCTCGTTCAGAAGCCAAGCAGAGTTTCTCCTATGGAGCAATATTGTAAGGGTACCTTTACACTATATCCATAACTTGAGAGAGAGAGAGAGAGAGAGAGAGGACAGCAACAGGAACTGTGGGAGGGTGGGAGGTTCCTGAAGGAAGTGCCTGGTGCTCTGTGTCTGCAGTCACTTCCGTCCCCATCTGGGACCACTTATTCCACTGGCAGACACAGCCTTCCCTGGGTCTGGTGACTCAGCCTTCCCCAGATCTGGTGGGCAGATCAAAGGGCCCTTGACATTGGATGACTCAGCACCCAGTGAGCTTACTATGAACCAAGCTGACATCAGCTGGGAGAAGACAACTTCAGGGACACAGAGGGTCAGCCCTTGGGATCTGAGAAGCAAGTCTGAGACAGGTGAACTGAGAGTCATAACTCCTGGAGATGAGAATGCGGAAGCAATGCCTTCTGACAATGACTTTCTCCTTGCGGGGGATTGGGGGCCTGATGCTACAGGTCCTGCTGAAATGCAGCTGTGCTCTTGTCACCTGACCAGTTCTTCCCTAACCTCAGATGGTGTGACCGGCTTCTGCTTTGTGCTCATGACTAATTTACTGGTTTCCACTCACTCCTGCCTTGAATAAGTGCATCTGTATGTGAAGTTGTATGTTTTATTAATTCCTACTATCAATTATGCCTTGGTTTTCCAGGTGCCTTGGGATTGGGGACTGAGCTCTTGATTTCTGAAGCCATGTTACTGATGGCTAGGATGTCCCGTGCCAGCACTTTCCAGCCAGCGATTGCTGTATGTCAACCTGCCAAGGCTCTCATTCCTGCACTCTGCCAACCTGCCTGGGTATCCTCCTGTAAGACTTCTGATGAGCATTTAGAAGACATACACTTACCAACCCTTCCCAGGTGTGAAACCCCATGGAAAGACTGGCATATTTGCTACTTAATGCAATCTCCTCTTTACAACTAATCCTCCGAGACAGGTTTCACAGGTAAGTAAACAGAGACTCAGAAGTTGTTCCTTATGTAGGTCACACAAATGCCTGTCTTTTCTCTAGTTTGATTCCTCTTTATTCTGCGTTCATGAAACATGTTTTCCTTGCTGTTTTTCAGAACTGGAGATAATAATATCCCCAGGATTGTTTTGACGGTTAAATTAAGTCCTCAATATGAAAGTGCCTAGCACATAATAGATACTTAACAAATGGCAGCTTCTTCATGTCATCCTATTCTGACCTCAGCCTAGTAAACCAGGCTCCTCTGACAGAGTTGAACTTGTTATATGTCTAGGACAACACTGGAGCACACAATAGGTTGTAGTAAATATTGGATGGATGAAATTAGCTGGGCATGGTGGCGTGCACCTGTAGTCCCAGCTACTCAGGAGGCTGAGGCAGGAGAATCACTTGAACCCAGTAGGCAGAGGTTGCAGTGAGCTGAGATCATGCCACTGCGCTCCAGCCCAGGCAACAGAGAGACATGAGAATCCATCTCAGAAATACACACACACACACACACACACACACACACACACACGATGGTGGATGAATGAATGGATAATCAATGGAAGTATTAAAATTTTATTTAGAGTTTGCAAAAACCTAAAGGTCACTCTTTTCCCCCTACACTGTGCTACTTTTGACTTCCTGCTATTTGTATCTATCAGCTGAACATTAGATCTGCTCTTTTGCTGGATTTCTCTTCACCTGCAATGTTAGATGCTCATCCTCATCTGCCCACAAGATCATGCCTTTTGTGTTGCATGTGTCTAGCCATTGAGTTCCGGGCTCTCCTCGCTTTCCTATACTTTTACTTTCTAAGCACAATCCAGATACTCTGCACTAAGGAGGCTGAACACAAGAGATGTGTTTAGCTGAGTAAGTGGTCTACATTTCAGTAGACTTGCTTAGGAAATGGGGGCAACATACCACCACAGTGTGGTTAGATCTGGGCTGAGTAAGGCCACCTGCTGCTGGCTCAGCACCTTTCCGAATAATTAAGCAATTTACTGAGAGCCTGGAATTTGGAATCACAGAAAAAAGTTTTGGATAGAAATACAAGTCAAAAGTCTATAGATGCTTTTCCTCTAGCCAGCAGCTCCATTAAGGAAATTTATTTTCGTGTTTTGGAAGGGTGGAGATTTTAGTTCAATCATGGACACATCCAGCCATTACTCAGTCCTCAGTCAGCAGATTTAAAGGAAGCTAAGAAGGACCCAGGGCCCTGGGCCATCTGTAAGACCTAAGCATAACTTCAGCCATGCCTGGAAGAGGATACCTAGGTATCCGCTCCAGCTCTGGGCATCCATTAGTGGTCACAAAAATGATACCTGGTAATCAAGGCAAAAACTGCCTCTGGATTGCGATCAATTTCTAAAAATTAAACTGCTTGGAAAAGGATAAAGAAGTCCACAAAAAAGGCCCTGAACTGTAGAAGGGTATAATGACCAGGAAATTCCCTGATCCTAAAGCCTTCCTTTTCCACAGCTGAGACCATATAGTGACTACCTGGAGACTCAGCTCTGTCTCAAGCTCCATGATCAATTGCATTTCTGGTCAGGGAAAATATAGGAAACCTTTAGGTATCAGTTTGGGGGCTTAGGATCGAGTCATCCCTGTGCTAGCACCTACTCTGACATAACACCCCTGTATCTGGTAAATGTATTCTTTACCATATGCTTTTTGATCAGGATTTCCCTTGTGGCTCAGAAGTTCCAGACCTGCATCCTTATCTTAGTCCTGAACACCTGAGCTCCTCCTTGTCTCTGTATTTTCAAAACTGGAAGCTTACCTTTGTATCATAAGAACTTGCAGAATCACACTTCTCTGGTGCTTGTCAAATCTAATGTAGATTTAGCTCACCCAGTAGTGATATTTTCTAGGACAACTTGCTGTCATGCATTGAATCAGCCAGATTTTGCATCTCAACCCAGCCTCAGCTCAGTCCACCCAAAGTGACATTTGACTGCATTCTGATTATGCAAGAGTAGAGTTGAGTAGATTAACCTATCCATGCCCAAATTTCAATCTGCACATAGAATCCTGAGGCATGAGTGAAAGCTGCTAAGGCAGCAGGCTATTCAGAAGTCTTAGAGCAATCACTGAGCAAGAAAGAGATACTCACTACTACATCTGAATCAAAACTACCAATAATTCCAAGAAGCCTGGTTTACAGTACTGCATATGTGCATTCACGTTAGCTGTCCAAGACCTTGGTACTTCACCACATGCTTTCATTTCAAAGACCTAGCCAATTAAGGATCTTAAACTGTTGTGAAGCAATAAAAATTTCCCTAAACAATAACTATACAGAGGATCCCTTCCAAGACTGAGATTTTGTTATTTCATTTCAGGCATTCTAAATTAAGCCCTGGAGAAACATTTCACTGCTAATAAGTAATCGCTTGTTGTAATATGCATTATTGCTGAGATAATAGGCTACATCAGTATCTATTCATGTTATTGTAACTGGGAAATAAGACTTGAGAATACTACTGTGCAGTATTCTCTGTAGTGAGAAAAATACAAATGTTAATTTTCATACTGTCATGTTTGGTTTAAATTATCTATGCTAAAATATAGACATGTATTTATCTTCAGTGTAATGAATTCATTTGTTGTCCAGCCACATTTGATTTTTATCAAGTTTCTCTCTAAAACAATCTTATATGATAGGACACAGAAGAACAAAATAGCCTATGACTTTTCAATGTATAAATAATACATTGAAATTTACTAAAAGAGAGTGTTGATGAAATCTTACGTTTAAAAAAAAAAGGCTTTATATAAACTTTAAAATTCATATCTTAAATGTTTTAAAAAAATCCTAGCTGAGGTTCTTATGTGTGTTTTCTCCCTGCTGGTCTACACTTCAAAATGTGTTGATTTTTAAAAAATATGAATCTTCTGTATATACACCAATTTTTAACAAATATTATCAACTCTTTAGGTGGAGAGTCACAACCTCTGATTGACTTCAGTATTTTTTAGTTGGTGTGCAGTAATGGTACGTATTTATGGAATTCAGAGTGATATTTTATTACATGTGTACAATGTATAGCAATCAAATCAGGGTAATCAATACATCCTTTACCTCAAACATTTATAACTTCTTTGTGTTGTGAATATTCAAAGTCTTCTGTTCTAGCTTTTTGAAAAATGTAAACTATTATCAACCAAATTCACCCTTCAGTGTTACAGAACACTAGAACCCATTCCTCCAATCTAGCTACAATTTTGTATCTATTAACCAACTTCTCCCTATCCTCTCCTACCCTCACCCTTCCCAGCCTCTAATAACCACAATTCTATTCCTTACTTCTATGAGCTCAAGATTTTTAAAAATTCAAACATATGAGTGGTAATATTCAGTATCTTTCAGTGTCTGATTTATTTCACTTAATAGAATGTCCTGCAGGCTTATCTGTGTTGATGTGAATGACAAGATTCCATTTTTATGGCTGAATAGTATTCTGTTGTGTATAGACCACATTTTCTTTATGTATTCATATGTTGATGAACATTTAGGTTGATTCCATATCTTGACTATTGTTAATAGAGCTGCAATAAATATGAGGTATAGGTATCACTTTGATATACTGATTTTCTTTTCTTTGGATAAATACCCAGTAGAGAGATTGTGGGATTATATGGTAGTTGTGTTGTTAATTTCTTGAGAAACCCCTGGACTGTTTCCCATAATGGCTGTACTAATTTACGTTCCAACCAAGGGTATGTAAGAATTCCCTTTTCTCTACGCCTTCATCAATATTTTTTAAAAATCTTTTTGATGATAGCTGTTCTGACCACGATGAGGTGTTATGTTATTGCAGTTTTGATTTGCATTTCCCTTATGATTAGTGATGTGGATCATTTTGTCATACATTTATTGGCCATTTGTATAAATTTTTTTGAAAAATGTCTGTTCAGATCCTTTGCTTGTTTATTAATTGAAATATTTGATTTTTCTGCTGTTGAGTCTTTAGAGTTTCTTTTACATTGTGGATATTAGTCCATTATTGGATGAATACTATGCAAATATTTTTTCCAATTCCACAGGTTGTTTCTTTACTCTATTGATTATTTACTTTGCTGTGCACCTTTTTAGTCTGGTGTATTCTATTTTTGTTTTTCTTGCCTGTGCCTTTAAGTCTTACCCATAAAATCTTTGCCTAGACCTATGTTCAGAAGTGTTTTAGCTATGTTTTCTTCTACTAGTTTTATAGTTTCAGGTCTTACATTTAAGTCTTCATCTTGACTTGATTTTTGTATATGATGAGAGATAGAGGTCAAGTTTTATTCTATTGCGTGTGAATATCCAGTTTTCCCAACACCATTTATTGATGAGGGTGTCCTTTCTCCAATGCATATTCTTGGCACCTTTGTCAAAAATCAGTTGGCTATAAATACATGAACTTATTTCTGGTTCTCTCTTCTGTTCCTTTGGCCTATGTGTTTTATTCCAGTACTATGTTGTTTGGGTTGCTATAGCTTTGTAGTATATTTTGAAATTAGGTGGTGTGATGCCTTCAGCTTTATTCTTTTTGCTCAGTATTGCTTTGGATATTTGTAGTCTTTTCTGGTTTAATGAAGAATTTAGAATTGTTTTTCCTATTTCTATGAAGAATGCCATTGGTATTTTGATAGAAATTGTGTTGAATTTATAGATTTCTTTGGGCAGTATGGTCATTTTAACAATGTTAATTCTTCCATTCCATGAGCATGGAATGTCTTTCCATTTTATTTGTCCTCTTCAATTGTTTTTCATCAGTATTTTTTAGTTTTTATTGTAGTGATCTTGCATCTTTTTAAACTTATGTATAAGTATTTTATTTTTTATGTTTTTTTTTTTTTAAANTTTTTTTTTAAACTGAGTCTTGCTCTGTTGCCAGGCTGGAGTGCAGTGGCATGATCTTGGCTCACGGCAATCTCTGCCTCCTGGGTTCAAGCAATTCTCCTGCCTCAGCCTCCTAAGTAGCTGAGACTACAGGTGTGTGCCACCATGCCCAGCTAATTTTTGTATTTTTAGTAGAGATGAGGTTTCATCATGTTGACTAGGATGGTCTTGATCTCTTGACTTCATGATCCACTCTCGTTGGCCTCCCAAAGTGTTGGGATTACAGGCGTGAGCCACTGTGCCAGGCCTTGTTTTATTTTTGTAGATAATGTAAATGGGATTGTTTTCTTGATTTCAGCTAGTTTGTTATTGTTATATAGAGACATTACCCATTTTTGCATATTGAATTTGTATTCTATAAATTTACTGAATTCACTTATTAGCTCTAAGAGGTTTTTGGTGTATGCAGTCTTTAGGTTTTTCTATATACAAGATCATGTCATTTGCAGAGGTAGAATCTGACTTCTTTTTTTCCTAATTGGATGTCCTTCATTGCTCTGGTAAAAACTCCCAGTACTATGTTGAAAATAAGAGTGGTGAAAATGGGCATACTTGTCATATTCCAGTTCTTAGAAGAAAAACTTTCAGCTTTTCTCCGTTCAGTATCATAACTGTGAGTTTGTCATATACAGCCTTTCTTATGTTGAGGTGTTTTCTTTCTATACCTAACTTGTTGAGACTTTTTATCATCAAGAGATGTCGAATTTTATAAAATTTTTTTCTGTATCTATTCATTGATGTGATGTATCATCTTTATTGATTTGCATATTTTAAATCATCCTTACATTTCTGAAGTAAATCTCACTTTATTATCATGTATTTCTCATTGATGTGTTGTTGGATTTCTTTTGCTATGATTTTGTTGACAATATTTGCATCTATGTTCATCGGGGACACTGACCTATACATTTCTTTTTTGTTTTGTCCTTGTCTTGTTTTGGTATAACTTTGGCCTCATAGAATGAATTAGAAATAATTCTTTTCTCTTCAATTTTTGGGAATAGTTTAAAAGGAGTTGGAGTTTATTCTTTAAAAGTTTGGTAGAATTTGACAGTAAAGCCATCTGCTCTTGTGCTTTTTTTTTTTTTTTTTCTGGGTGTGGGGAGACTTTTTATTGCTGATTCAATCTTCTTACTTACTATTGGTCTGTTAAAGTTTTCTATTTCTTCATGGTTCAATCTTGGTAGGTTATATGTGTTCGGGAATTAATCCATTTCCTTAAGTTTTCTAATTTATTGGTGCATAGATAGTCATAACAGCCTCTAATGATTTTTGTGTTTCTGTGATATCTGTCATAATATCTTTTTTCATTTCTGATTTTATTTATTTAAATCTTCTCTCTTTTTTCTTAGTCTTGCCAATGGTTTGCCAATCTTGTTCATCTTTTCAAAAAACCAAATTTTCATTAATCTTTTATATATTTTAGCCTCTGTTTCATTTAGTTCTGCCCTGATCTTTATTATTTATTTTTTTCTACTAACTTTGGATTTGGTTTGTTCTTGCTTTTCTGGTTCCCTGCGTTGTATCATTAGGCTGTTTTTAAAAATAATATTTTCTTTTTTGATATAGACATTTATGGTTATAAACTTCCCTCTGGGTACTGTTTTTGCTGTATTCCATAGGTTTTTGTTTGTTGTGTTTCCATTGTTTTAAGACTTTTTATATTTACTTTTTGATTTATCCACTGACCTAATGATCATTCAGGAGTATGTTATTCAATGTGTTTGTATTTGTACAGTTTCTAAATGTTTCTCTTGTTATTGAAATCTAGTTTCATTCCATTGTGGTCTGAGAAGACACTGGATATAATTTCCATTTTTAAATATTTGTTGAGATTTCTTTTGTAGCCCAATATATGATCTGTCCTGGAGAATGTTCCATGTGCTGACAAGACAAAAGAAGACTATAGTCCAATGTGCATTCTACTGCTGTTTAATAAAATGTTCTGTAAATGTCTGTTAGGTCTACAATGCAGTATAAATTTGATGTTTCTTTGTTGAGATGAATCTGTTTAACACTGAAAGTGTAGTACTCAAGTCCCCAACTATTCTTGTATGGGGATCAATCTCTCTCTTTAGGTCTAAAATTTTCTTTATATACCTATGTGCTCTGATATTGGTGCATATATATTTAAAGTTGTTATGTCTTCTTGCTTAATTGATCCTATATAATTATATAATGACCCCTCTTTATCTCTTTTTATGCTTACTGACCTAAAGTTTATTTTGGCTCATATAAGTACAGCTGCTCCTTCATGGTTTTTATTTGTATGGATTTTCCTTTTCTATCTCTTTACTTTCTATTTGTGTTCTTACTGGTTAAATGGTTTCTTTAGGCAGAATATAGGTTGGGCCTTGTTTTTCAGCCATTCAACTCGTCTATATATTTTAATTGAGGAATTTAAATTATTTACCTTCAAGATTTTTACTGATAGATGAGAACTTACTCCTGTCATTTTGTCAAGTTGTTTGTTATTGTTTCATGTTTCTTTTCTTTCTCTTTTATTGCTTATCTTTGCAATTTGGTGGTTATCTGTAGTGATTAAATTTGATTCTTTTTTCTTTCCCATTTGTGTATCTCCTCTATCAGTGAGCTTTATAGTTTTGAGTATTTTCATAATGGTAGATTTTATTCTTTTGCTTCTAGATGTAGAAATCCCTTGAGCATTTCTCGCAGGGCTGGTCTAGTGATAATGTAACTCAACAGTTTTTGTTTGGTAAACACTTTGTATTTCCTTTATTTCTGAAGGATAGTCTGGTTGGGTGTAACATTCTTGGTTGGCAGTTTTTTCTTCTTTTGGCACTCTGAATATATCTTTCTAATCTCTCCTGACCTGTAAGGTTTCTGCTGAGAAGTCTGTTGTTAGTCTGATAGAGATTCCCTTATGTGTGACATGATACTTTTCTCCAGCTGTTTTTACAATTCTGTCTTTGTTGACTCTTGATGATTTGAATGCAGCATGTCTCAGACATGATTTTTTTGGGGTTGAATCTATTTGAGAATCTTTGGGCTACCTGCATCTAGATATCCATATTTTTTCTAAGACTTGGCAAGTTTTCAGCTATTATTTTGTTAAATAGGGTTTCTGTGAATTTTTCGATCTCTTTTTCTACTGGAACTTCCCAAATTTGAATAT